AGGCTTATTGGTCAAGGTTTAAGCCGGGGCCCTGTCCCCTCCCTTTGTAAATAGGTATTACATTTGCCTTTTTCCCCTTTATCACACTATGCCGTTTGTAGTGATATTTAAAAAAAGTTTAAACCCAAAAGGTATCCCAAGTTCCTCTTTACATTCCTTTTAACACCCTTGCAAACAGTTCTCAGGCCCTGGGGATTTGTTGGTTTTAGTTTATTTTTTTTTTATATTTTATTTAAAAAACCAATAATATTTCATATGTATCTATGCATACGTTACATAAACAAGACATGTTATCATTAAATATGAAACAACAATTCCACTTTCCCCTTTTCCCAGCTTTTAACCCTAATTTAATAGCACACTTCATTTTTTTTTTTTATATTTTTTATTATAACCAATACAGTATACAAAAAATAAAAAAAAAAGGAAACATTGGATCTCAAACATCATAACCCTACGGGGAATCTACATACTTATCCTATCCCAAAAACAAATAAAACATACAAAAAAAAAACACTTAAAACCGACTCTTTACATTACAAAAAAACCCGTATAAAAAAATCTCGACAAAAAGGAAGCGTCTAAAATGGAGTATATCTGTAACCATACAGCCAAAAAAATTACTTTAAGAACAAGCATGAAAAACCTATACGGGTGCTGAAGCTATAATACTCTTAACATAAAAAAAAACCTAGAAATAACATAAAAAAAAAAAAAAAAACACTTCATATGGCAAAGAAAAATTTCCATTTTTAAAATACTTTACAAAGTAATTGAAATGAAAATTTTTAAAAAAAAGTATAAAAAAGGGGAACATCAAAAAGCATGTAATACCATAAAAACCTAACATCACATACGACAGAATTTATCTTTGTAAACACATTTGGGAAAAAAAAAAAACCAAGCATACTAGATCATGCCTTTGTCACCTCAAACCCTTCAAAAACAAATATGTGGATGTCCCCTCACACTTAACCAAGTGTGCAACAACACATTACATTTAAATTTGCAATCCCTTTCTGAAAAACAATGTAAAAAAACAATCTTACACAATCCCCCGCCCAAAAATCATACAAAAGAAGCTTATTTATTATATTACCAAACATACCCCCACACGTAAACCCCAAACCATGTCCATACTCAAGAAAACTACCCCCGCAACCCCTTAATGAATTTAAAATCTTTTAAAACCCTTAAACCCAAATCTACGATAACCTTCAGTAAATGCTGTCTCCATCTTCCCCATAAAGTCCCTATTGGGATTTTGTTCTATCATCGTGGCCCATAAACACTTTTTCCTTCCTAACCCCCACCCCCCAATTCCCCAAGATATATATAAAAAATCGTGAAAACATACGAAACCGATTCACCACTGTGACTCCACCCCTATATCTAAAACTTAAACCCGCAACCCCTGAAACCCCTTCCCCACCCACTAACCAAACTCCCCTACTTAGCCAGCCCTCACATCTTCTAAAAAAATACAAAATACACAGCGGAAATTTTTTCTGGACAATCCACCCCTTTTGCCCCCCCCCCTCCTTAATCTCCTATTAAAAAAACAAAACCCCCAGACGGCAAAATCCCATGTAAAAACCTAAAAAAACCTCCGACATTTGGTTTTACACGTATTGTTGAAGAATTTCCATACAAAACCCCCAGCATCATAGGGTTTTCCCCCCTCAACTGCCGCCCCACGACCC